CACTTTTGTCCTTTTCCCAAAAATATCTCCAAAATATCTCAGACTTATCTTTATCCAAAAAGCGTAGCCCAGTTAGATCGATCTAACCTTAGTTCGATAGATCCCAGCCAAGTCCGATCGATCCAAGTACAAGGTTCGATCGATCGAACTTCCTCCAGTGCGAAAAAGTTAAAATCCCAGCTCACTAAAGTTGTCCTCTCTCTAATCATTAGAGAATATTGGGTGCACGACCCCAGCTCATTTGGTGTGTCACTTGACCTACCTATAAAAGGAATATGATGCACTTTTTGAGATATACACATATAGATAGATAGAATTAGAAAGGAGGCAATTCTTAGAGAGGAAGAAAGGGAGGAGGAAGCTAAAGACACCATTGGAGGCCTTTCATCTTCCAAGAAGTAGATTTCATCCATGGAGCTTGCCCTTAAGGGTTGGAGGAGCATCACCATGAGTGGCTAGACATCCTTTTGGGGCTAGAGTTAGCCCCAAGCATGCTTTCTTTACCTTAATCTTGTGTATTATTGAGGGATTAGTGTTGTAATACTTGTTTTGACACTTTGATTTATATAGATTTTGTTTATTCAATGATTTATATGGTTTAATGCTTCCAATTGTTCATCTCACCTCTATCCAGTCTATGTATGCTAGGGTAGATGTTCAAGTGCTCATCTCTATCTCTTGTGTTATTGATGTATGTCTATATGTATTAATGCTATAGATCTAGAGATTGTCAAGACATAGTGCTTAATAGAATGTTATTGTAGTTTAATTGATGGTCCATACTTATTTCTTGATGGATTGTGCCTTTCCTTTAGTTTAATTTCATGCTAGTAGTGTAGTTGTAGTGTAGATGATAAATGGGAGGACAATCCATGCTTATTGTTTGATGTTCCATACTTTTGAATTAAAATAGCATATATCTCTAACCTTGTGGTGTATTTGGATTGTGAGCTTAATGAAAGGATTAATGACTTGTTTTGATCTATTGTGCCTTTCACATGTTGTTTAGACAATATATGCTTCATTGATTAGATATATTGTGCCTTTCACATGATGTTTAGACAATACATGCTCAATTGGTCATCCTTGCTTGTTGAATCAACCAATCACACACACACAAATGTTGCAACACACCTTACCCTCATTAGTCACTTGTGAATGGTATAGAAATGCATTGCTTGGTGGTGATATCTAAACCCCAAGACCTTTCTCTATCTCTTTTACTTACTCTTTATTACACTCATACTTAGTTTAATTTAGTTGCTCTCTAGTTTAAACAACAAACCAACCAACCATTGTTTGATCATTTGACCTACTAGCCTTAGTTGCATTTTCACAACAAAATTCGACCTAGCACAATCCACAATCCCTTGGGACGATCCCTACTCGCCCTAACTATATTTTTAGTGAAGGTAGTAGTGGTTTTTATAAATGTAAAACTTGGCCCTCGCCTTAATGCACACTCTCCAAACTTGACCGTAGTGCGACGTTGACGGCCAATCACATGCTTACAAGCAAATTAGACAACTTAGATCAAATCCATGCATTTCTTTTTCAAAACAAATGAGACAAGGTGGAACTATATTCACAATAATTCAAACTTTCAAAGCCATTTAATTTGCAAAAATATATCAAGTCCAAAAATATTTCTTCTTTTGCAATTCACTTTCAACATCTAACTTTGAAAAAGTCTTTTCAAATTCTCTCTCAAAGTCCAAAAATCAAAACATATGCCTTTTGGAATTTTAAAATCAAAGTTCGAAATTTTTTCAAAAATCCGGCATGGTTTCCCCTTAAAAATGGACATCCCAAAATTTTTTGAACACATCAAAACAATATGTATATCATTCAATACAATCAATTAATCAATCTCAACATTCAACAAGGGACACCGCCCACAACAATTCACAAATCAAATTCAATTTTTGCCCATTCTCCTTCTAAAAACTATACCAACCACATTCCATCTTTCATTTCCAGTTGTTCTATCAATATGTAACCAACATCAAATTTTAGTTCAAATCAAATGTTCCCAATATATATATATATATATTTTTAAATAACAACTTTTTGCATGTTTATTTTATTTTATTTTATTTTTTATTTTTTATTTTTTAATTTTTATTTGGTTTTGCCTTTATTCAATTTTTATTTTGTTTTCCATTTTTATATACAAGGATATAAACAGTATGACATTTAACATGCAAAACTAAAAGCAAAAATAAAAAAAAGAAGAAAAATAAAAACAAAATAAAATAAATAAAATAAAAATAAAAATTCGAAACATACCCGACTTAAATAGGTGAAGAGGAGGGTAGAGGAAGAGATGTGGAACAAAAATGGAGGTTTTTCAACCTTGCCGGCGTCGGAGAAGATGACCAGAGGCTCGCCGACGGTTCGCCAAAAAATTTAGAAGCTCGCTGGAGCTTGGAATCGGATCTCCTTGGCCTAAATCGGTTGGAGATGAAGAAAAGACTAGAAATAGATTGAAATGGAGAGAAAGAAAAGAGGAGAAGCTTGGTCTTTGCCAAAAGCTTCCCTGCCGCCGTCGATAGAGGTGCGACGGTGGCTTGGTTTGGGTTTCCTTGGGTTGCCGACCTTGGAGAAGAGAGTGGGATGTTTCGATGATGGCAATGAAGTTGAGGGAGAGAGATTAAGGTGGTGAGAGATGGAGATGGATTAGGGGTGAGAGAGAACAGAAGAGAGGGTTAGGGTTTGGTGCAAAATAGAAGATGAATAGGAGAGAGGAAGAAAGAAAATAGAAAAAGAAAAAGGAAAAAGAAAAATAGGGGGAAAAAGAAAAGAGAAAAAAAATAAAAAAAAAAAAAAAAAATCTGGAACTTGAACGGCCAAAGGGATTTCCGAAAAATTCAAATGACGCATTTTCGATCGATTGAAGGACTTTGATCGATTGAACCCTTAACTTCGATCGATCTAAAATGGATTTCTATCGATTGAACTTAACCTTGATCGATCGAAATGGAATTTGAAAGGTCCTCAACCCAGGTGATTCGATCGATCTAAGTGGAACTTTGATCAATCGAATTGGAGTTCGATTGATCGAAACCTCATTGGCAGTACTCAAAATGCAGAAAATGGCTCTCAAGCTGGATTTTTCAATGCAACTCATATCTAGACAACGCAGAAACACATAAAAACAGAAATGAGGGAGGAATAGGGTTATCAAACCCTACGAATTGCATTAGTCTTTAACGTCTCTAGCAAGACGTTGGGCTCTTTTAGCTCGTATCAAAAATCTTGTTGGGCATCCCCTCCTTGATGGGGTGAATGGCCTTTTAAATCCCACCCAACAAATTGTTCCCTAAAGAACTCGTTGGATTTGATTCAAAGGAAATTGATGGTCCTTTGTCAATGCAACTCTTAGGCTTCCATGCCCTATCAACACTTGGTTTTAAAACTTTATTCCTTAAAATCATTTTGGAAGACAAATCATTGAAGTTTTCAACCTCAAGCAAAGACTCAACTTTTTAAATTTCATTTTCAAGACACTTTCCACAACACACACTTCTTTATGCTTGTCTATTGAACTCGGGGTTGGATTAAATATGTTCAATTTCACCTTTATATGCCCAAATGAAATTTTCATTATTCCCATCCTACAATTGATGTTGGCATTTGTGGTTGCCAAGAAGGGATGGCTAAGGATAACGAGAATTTGGCTCTTGGGATTTGGGATCGGTTTCGTGTAAATGACAACGAAATTGACCAGAAAAAAGAATTTATCAATTTTAATGAACACATCCTCAATAATACCCTGAGGCTTTTTGATGGATTGGTCAGCTAGTTGCAAAACTACCGACGTTGGTTTTAAGTCTCCTAAGCCCAATTGAACATACATCGAATATGGAAGAAGGTTAACACTTGCTCCTAAATCTAGAAGAGCTCGGTTAATGACATGGTCACTAACGATGCAAGAAGTAGTAGGTGAACCGGAGTCTTTAAATTTTGGAAGAGTATTATGTTGCAAAATAGAGCTTACTTGCTCGGTCAAGATCACTTTCTTTGGTGGCCTTTGTTCTTCCTCTTTTGGGTGCAAAGATCTTTCAAAAATTTGGCATAAACTAGAATTTGTTTAATTGCATCAAAGAGTGGAAGATTTATCTTCACTTACCTAAACATTTCAATTATTTCATTGGCCTTGGTCTTTTGTTTTTCAAGAGAAATGAATCCTTTTAAGGCATCCGAAAATGGAGATTTTGACCCAAAATCTTTTTCAAAATCTTTCTTTGAATCACTTTCAATACAAGAATTTCTCAAATCATTTTTCAAAACTTTTTCGACAAATGGTTCATGCACATGCAATGAAGGAGGAATTTATTTTCTTTAAAACTCTATCACATATAACTTATTTTTATCTATTTATTGTGAGTTTTTTGATGAAGGAAATCTAATTAGACAACGATATATTTAAAGAAAATAAAATATTTTTTTAAAAGAGTTTATATAAAATTATAATAAAAATTACCTATTTATGTATATATTATGAATTTTTTTAATAAAATATAATATAACTAGATAAGAATTATTAATATAAAAAATATTTAATAATTGGTATAAAAAATAAAATAATTTTTTTAAAACTCTACTACAAATTATCTTTTATTATGAGTTTTTTAATAAAAAAAAATCTAATTAGACAATGATATATATATTTAAAGAAAATAAATAATTTATATAAAATTCTACCACAAATTACTTATTTTATTTAGAATAAAACTCTATCACATTCTATAAGAATATATTTAAATAATTTTTATAAAACTCTAAAACAAATTAACAAAACTTTAATTTTTATAAAACTCTAAAACAAATTAACAAAACTTTAATTTTTATAAAACTCTAAAACAAATTAACAAAACTTTACCGCAAATTAAGTATTCACTACGACTCGCCTTTCCATATATATATATATATATATATGCGCGCGCGTGTGTGTCTATAAAAGATCGTATCTATATAAACTACTGTGGTACTAATAGTACAAAGTGGAGAAGTCGATTACTTTTATAGCTCTTCAATTGGCTGTTCTAAATTCTCCCACTCGGCGCTTTTGTTCAGCCCCCACAGAAACCCTAATTTACTTTTACACTGCACATATACGAATATATACGTATAATATATATATATATATATAAACACACATCACTGTGAAGTCTGCGCTTGAAGATTGCAGCAATGGAGGCTTCCCTAGGGCAAAATTACAAACAAAAGGAGTTCACTTTGGCCTCTGTATCTCAGCTGTCGGTGACTTCATCAACGTATTCTTTTTCGCCTGTTGTTGCTCGTTTCAGCAGTGATTCTGGCGTCCCTGAGCTTCAATTCCACCAAGAATCTGAGCCAGATGTTTCTATTAACGTTGATCTTCGTAATGCACAGGTTACCATTTCTCTTGAGGTTATACGATTTAAGTTTGCATATTGAATAGGGATGAATATCACTTATGCTTTTATCATTTTTACATTTAGAAATTGCTATGATTTTTTTTGAAAGGATGCTTATAATGCAATGCAATGCATTTGAGAGGGTTATTTCATTATTTACTTATTTATTAATTTATTTATTCATCTATTATTACAGTTTTTCAAGTTAAGCCCTGTTCAATCAGTATGCATATCAGAAGTTTCTGAAACCAGTAAGGAGGTATGAAATTCCCAGAGTTCGTCAGAGCTGATCGGTTCTCTCATCTAATATATGGAAAAAAATGAGTTTTTAATTTATCTTGCTTTGGCATTATAATGTTTTCTCTTTTTCTTTTATTTGTTTTACTTGCTTGAAAATATGGTACACTAGAATCCCTGGTATGAATATTATTCTCGGTATTTATCGAAGTCATACTTGAAAAGTTGATACACCTGTAAATAGTATTCACTATTTACAATTTGATTGGTATATATATATACATATATATGTAAATTATCTATTAGATGTATATTTCTGTTAATATCTTTATCTTTGAACCAGAAAACCTGTTCAAGAGGAATAACCATTCAATTTACAAAGGAGGAGCAAAGCAGGGCCTTCCATTGTGCGATTGAGCAATGGAAGAAGGAAGCTGTTGACGAAGGTGATTCTTTTTGTCTCTCTCATAATTCTTCCCGAAATTCATTGGTATATTATGCCACGTGAAGTTTTGTATATATGACTAGGTTTAAGCGTAGGGGTGACATCAACTGAAAAGAAAAAAAGAAGATTTAATCTTGCATGAAAAGAAAACGACCCAACTTGAAAAGGGAAGAACTAACATCAAAGGAACAACAGGTGAAGGACAAAGGAGATGCACAATTCAATTTCCTAATAATTAAATCATGTCTACATCTTTTGGCTTGCGAACAATTATATGTCACGTCCTCTCCATAAGTTCCAATTACCATCTCACTGTTCTGCCATCATTAAATAGTTTCCGCAACACACAAATCGCCCCAGAAACTAGCACTTAGACTAAATCACCAATCAATCTGACACTTATCATCTCTAGAGATATTAAATTTCAACTGCTCTACAACTCATTGAGGTTTTCATATTAAGCCAATTCCATCTCTATATATCTAAATTGGCAAATTTAAGCTGACTCAACGGCAACACCGTTATGTTTGACACTTCAACACTACAAACCAATCTTCAACAATTACTCACACTTAGTATTCTAACTGAAGTAGATAAGAACTAGCATACAAAGATGATCCCCTCAAATGTAATAAACTATGATTAATCAACAAAAAAATGACGGTACAGATCAGTTCTTACTTTGCAATGTCCTGTTTATCCTTGCCAAACTTCTCCATGGCAAAATCTATAAATCACAGCCATAACTGTTCTAGAAATAAGTGGCATCAAATTTATTCCTAGGCCAGAAATTAGCATAATTAAAGTATTCACTTGTATATTGTTAATTACCACCTCTACATCTTTGTAGAAGTTGTATTATCTGTTGTAGAATAGCTCAAAGGTCCCAGCACAATGGAGAAAGAGTAGAATACATGTGCATTTGCAGCGGTTGTCCACATATACAGATTTGTGCACACATCTTAAGTAGATGTTGTATAATGTCTCTAAATTTCCACCAATATGTTTGTTTGCTTAAAAATGTTAGAAGCTGTGTTTCTCTGTTTTGTGAAGATGTTTTTTTCTGCACTGGTTCTTCAGATCTTTTGCAGCTAGCATCTTTTATATTAAAAACATGGGTTTACAACCACCTGAAATAAGGTTTTGACTCAAAAGCAGATGCTCATTATAGTGTGAAGGATCTAACTGTTTGTTATTTTCCCTTTCAGGATCTCGTCTTCAAAATGGAACACTATTACCTTCTAAAAGCAAGTTTGACAACAAGATAGAGGCATCTTCTGCTAAAATGTATTTCCATTATTATGGACAGCTGCTACATCAGCAAAATATGTTGCAGGATTATGTGAGGACAGGTTATATCACCAAGCTGTAATTTTTTGCTCCCTTTCAAAATTATAAGTATTTAATCTCCAGTTTCATAGTCAAATGTTCATCTAACCCAGAATGTTAAAATTCTTTGTTAAAGGATGATGTGCTCCATTGTGCTGCTAAAATGTATTTTATCTTGGCAAGCTTTTTCCTTGTATTCAAACTTGTAAAGATGAGTACATCTTAGTTGAGCATTAATGGCGTCCACTAGTGAAGTGTCACTTGACATTGTAAATGTGCTTGTTTCAGGAAGCTATTATGCTGCAGTCATTGAGAATCGTGCAGATTTTATTGGTCGTGTGGTGGTTGATGTTGGTGCTGGTAGCGGTATTTTGTCACTATTTGCTGCTCAGGTTTCCTTAGCCTTTTTTATCAACAATGTTTATTACGCATTGCGTGATTTACATGCAATTTCTGTGTTTGTGCATGGCAACATAAAAGGGCACAAACATTTTTGTGGGGTGTCTTGTGGAGTGATGTCCTGTTCTCTCTCTCTCTCTCTCTCTCTTTCTCTTTCTTGGATTAGGCTGGTGCAAAACATGTTTATGCCGTGGAAGCATCTGAAATGGCAGAATATGCCCGCAAACTTATTGCAGGAAACCCATCACTTGGTCAAAGAATTACGGTATTTTTTATTGTTTATTTTGTTTTGTTACATATTTTTTCCTACTTGCTATTTTGATTATTGGACCGTTATCACAATTTTTTTGGGGATTTATATAATCAAAATTATAGGTAATCAAGGGTAAAGTTGAAGAAGTTGAATTGCCTGAGAAAGCAGATATTTTAATTTCTGAGCCAATGGGTAAGCTTATTGTATTCTTTTGTTTTTCTAGTAAACAAACAATTTCTATCATACTAAACATCTATGGCCATGCTTTTTTTTTTTTTTTTTTCATGGTAATTGTTGAACTTTAGCTAGTTAAATGTTCCTTTATGCCCTCGAGGGGTTGTTGTTGAGTAATTAACTTTAGCTTTGATAGGTTTTCATAGACTGATGAAATTGAGTTGTTAGTTAGATAGTTTACCTTAGTCAAAGGGTAAAAATTGGAAGCTAAAGCTGCATCCAAGGGCAAAATGAACGCTAGCTTGGACAACTAGTCATGGAGAGAAGAAGCGGATCGCGTGAAGAGCGGATCTGTTGGTTGACATTGGCTAAGACTCGAGTGGAGAGTTTTGCATAAGTTTGAGGATTTTGCATAAAAATTGTGTCTTCATCTTGTTTAATCACAATGAATGGATTGATTTACTTGCTTTTAGCTAGTGAAATTTTGAATTTCCGGTATATTGTTCCAATTCTGAAAAAAGTAGTTAAAATTAGTTGTTCAAACAATTAAGATCTATTCACCCCCCTTTTCACTTCCCCAAATTTGATATAAGGACATCTTGTCCTATACCCAAATATGGTGCTTGATTTGGGTAACAAATCTCATTGCAACAGACTAACAACCATTATCGTATGCCAGATTGGAAAATATTGCAATGACTAATAATTAACTAAGGTAAAACCATTAGAATTTATTTCAATCTCTCAGAAAATAATACATCAAAGCCCTTTTAAAATCCTCAAAACATAGAAGAAAAAAATAAATTCAAATCACCAATTTATGCTCTCAATATCTCGACAACCTTCAAACTTTAATTACTTGAGATATTGGAAAAAAGGACGGGGGTGAGCTTACAACTTAGCAATTAACAGCCCAACCATGCAACGATATATATAAGTGTACGTAAACACCCCATGGAAAGATCAATAATCACTCTCCCAACCAATATATTTTTCATCTTTTTTTTTTTTTTTTTTCCCGATAAGTAAAGTTTTATTAAAAGCACCTAAGAGGGAAGTGCACCGGAGAAGCTCACGCGTTTAACCATTGAACCAGGCAACGGCTCTCAAAAGATTTGTTGAGTTGGAGATGCGGGGTATTGAACTCCATCCTCTCCATGCAATGTGAGCGCTCTAATATTTTCATCACTCTCTTTCTTAATAAGTTTTTATAAATTCTTCTTGCATGCTTTGTGCCTAATTCAGAATAAAGATTATTGTATGCTCAGCTTCCTCACTACTATTTTTAATTCCTTCGCATGTATGTATTAAATAATGAATCAATCATATCTAGGTTTATTGCCCTTTATTGTTGGATGTATAGTGCTTGTTCTTTTTGGAAGAGATTTAGTTTATATTGGGTGATGCATCCATTTCTAAGAGATTTCTGTTCTCAGTTGATTATTTGCAAGACTATGGAATACTTAAATGTCTCTTGATAGTGTTTTAACGCATCAGATTTTGGTTGGATGCCTGGTGTGATGATAGATCCCTTGCTCATCGATTCCCTAGATTGTTCAGGTTGGTGGTTGACAAACATTGCACAGTGTGCGAATGTTTGATGACAATGCGGTGACATGGGATTTCTAATTTGTTGGATCGTTTAGGACTGGGAGCTAGAATAGGGTTAAAGCCTTCTTTGGCTTGTTATACCTGTAGGCTTTGGATATGAAGGGTGATGATGTGTGGTGTTGGATGGGAGTTGGGCACAGTGGGTTTGCAGTAAAATTATTGTTCTACCAGGTTCTGTAAGGTGATTCTAAGATTGCATTTCCATGGAAAGAGGTATGGAGGAGAAAAGCCCCTCTTAAGGTGGCTTTCTTTGAGTGGTCAATGGCGTTGGGGGGAATATTGGCCATGGAAAATCTAGAAAAGAGGCATCAAATTGTTGTTGCATTGATAGAGGGGTGAAGAGACTGTCAATCATTGCATATTGCATTGCCTAATTGCGAGAGACACTTGATCTATGCTTTTGGTTATTTTTGGAATGCAATGAGTGGCTTTGGCTAATGCTTTGGAACCTCTTAAGTCTTGGAGGGGTTGTGGGAAGGCAAGTTAGAGATGTTTGGAGGACAAGCTAGAGACGCTTGGAAGGCAAGCCTGTTATGCATTTGGTGGGGTATGTGGAAGTGGAAAAATTTGAGATCCTTTGAGGTTGACAGGTTGTGGAAGCACCCCGATTTGGGTGATAAAGCACACTATTTTGAGTTTTTTATTCATTGGGTAAAAGGTGACTTATGTATATTGATTATGTTAATTTTTTGGATAGTGTGAGGGTACAAGGCTTCTTCTGTATGTTTTTTGCATGGGTGCACTCCACTTTGAACGCTTTTAATGAAATATGACTTGTCAAAAAAAAAAAAAAAGGTTTTGGCCCACACGAAAATAAAGAACCAAGCAGTTTTTTGAAGTACTATATTGGGCGTGGAGCTGGTTGAATTGAGAATTGTTTCAGAAGGGACATCTGGTTGTTTGTGTAGATCCTTGTTGAGCGGTGCCCGTGTATGGTTTTTTAAAGTGCTTGGACCTCATTGGGTTCTCTTTAACTTTTGGGGCTTTCTTGTTATTTTGTTATCTATATAAATAATTGGAAACTGAATTATTGGGTATATGGTATCGTATCTTACTACCAACACTGCCATACTGATACCTTTGTCTTGGCTCAGGTAGTCTAACCATATTTCCTCTGTTTTCTGTATGACCTCATATGGTATTCGTGCATCATGTCAAAAAACTCTTTTTGGATATATATGTTTTTTCATCGTTGTTGAAAAATTTCCTGCTAATTTGCTCATTATATGTTAATTGAGGTGTCTTTCTATTCTATGATCTTGTCTCCTCCTTGTTACTCTTTTGGTTTATAAGAACAACTCTCTTCCTTGTAGAAACTTTAGTGCTTGATGTTGTAGCTAAAGGTGTTAGATTGCACTGAAGCAAGTTTGATTTATCACATTTCTCCTCTTTGCAGGAACCTTGTTAATCAATGAGAGAATGCTGGAGTCCTATGTAATTGCAAGAGATCGGTTTCTTGTTCCTAATGGAAAAATGTTTCCTACGGTTGGAAGGTGATTGTACTTGTAATGCCTTTCTCCCCCTTAATAATTTCATAGTTTTCACTCTTAATCATTCTAGCTTTAACTAAAACTGTTATGATCATGCCTTAGATTGCCGTTATTTTTTGCAGCACTCAAAAATTGATTTATGAATGATGCTTCTAAGTAATTCGGAGAATTCAAAATCATACTTTCATCTTAATGTTCTTTATGCTGTTTGTTTGCCAAAGTGCTGCTGTATATGGTTTCATATTTCATCTTTGGTTCTAGTATACTGCTATGTCACTTCTGAGTATAAGTTTTTCCTGTATTGTACTATGAAACACACAAACTTCTTAGGAGGAACCATATCCATCTCCAAAATTTTGTTGAATACAAAACTTTTCCAGACGTAGATGGAAACTTGTTGGATACCATGCATACATGTCTTAAGTTTTTATTTTTACTTACGTATTTTTCTAGTATACATGGTCAAATTATTTCATGCATAATCTGAACACTTTTTACCAAGGGTCATAAGGCTCGTCACCCAGAGTGTTCTGTGAATCGAGATTGATGGGAGGGATAGATTAGATACAGACCTAACATTTTACATTATTTGCACAAAGTGACCACTCTCAAGATTTGAACCCACTTTCTCTTGCTTACAGTTGAGGATATTATTACTGTACCAAGAAATGACCCTATCTGAGCACTTTTTAGTATACAAAATAAATATTGTTTTAAATAGGAGATGGTATATTGACAAGGGATGTAGCCTAGTGGTACTTCCTCACCTTCCAAAAGTATAAGGTCAGGGTTCAAGTAGGGGAAAAAAATATACCGAAGTAATAGTGTACACCAAAAATTATTTATATGATATTTGTTGACTTTGTCTTCCAGTGTGATGCAATTGTTGATATAAAAGTTAAAAAAGAATATTAATTACAATTATACAATTCTATATTTGTCTATATGTAATTCATATAAAAAAATATCTTTATATTGCAATGTCCTCTGCATTTCCATATCCTACTTTTTCTGAATTTGTTTTGTCAATAGATCCATGTCATATAATGTGGTATTGTGTTTGTGTCTCGTGTTTTCATTTCTTAGATTTAATCGTATGCTTAGGTTGTTTGTTTACAAGAAACCAAGTTTGATTCTATGTTGGATAGGGTGGTGAGGAGTCTTTGGGGTGGAGGATTTGTCGAGTGGGAAGCGCTGGATGTCGTGGGCACTTTGGGGGGGTGGTGTTCTTGTTATGTGGGACAGGAGATGGGTGTCAAGGGTGGGTGTATGGAGGGGGAGATTCTCCATCTCTTGTGTCATTGTTATGGATGAGGATGGTTTTAGGTGGACCTTTTCCAGTGTGTATGGTCTTGTGGATGATGAGGAGAGACACATCCTTTGGCACGAACGCAGTTCTGTGAAGGATTTGTGGGCCCTTCCGTGGTGTGTCAGTGGGGATTTTAATGCAGTCAGATCCCCCTTGGAGAGATCTACTGGAGGAAGATGGTCTTCTGATATGGAGCACTTTTTCAGAGTTCATTGATAGCCATCATCTCATTGATAATCCCATGGAGGGTGTGTCATTCACTTGGTCTAGTGGTAGGGAGTATGGTACTCTCCACGGCTTGGTAGAGAACAGTGGCATCAGCCTTTTAAAGTATTTAAAAGGCGTGGCAAGAAGGATTCTAGAGCTCAAACCTTTATATTTGGCACATGCTAGACGATGGGGTCCACTTGGAGTCTTGCATAATTAGGGGGTTTGGTCAAATTGCATTAGTTTAGTAATTGCATTAATTATGGTGAATTTGCATCATTTTGGTAAATTGTATTATTAGGGGGTTTGGTCAAATTTCATTATTTTGGTAATTGCATTAATGATAGAAAATCTGCATTGTTTTGGTAAATTGCATAATTGGATTAAATTGCATCAATTAAATTATTTGTTACTTTATTAAGTTAGAGTCAACTTTTGATTACCTCCATTATAGGGTAATCCAAGGGTCATCTTTTATTATAAAAAGGATACTATGTAACTCTGAATACTCAGCGTGTGATTGAATAAAATTATTCTTTAAGATTTCTTTGTGAGTGATTCACAAATTCTGAGGGTGTGAGGCCTTCTCTAGATGTGATACCTAGGTCCTATTGGAGTGATTCCAATATGCTTTTCTTTGTTATTTTCAATCCTTCTTTTCTACTAACAAACTCTGAATCTTAGCTTTGTTTTTGAATTTCCAGCCCATAACTCTTATTTACTTTCTTCTATTTGAGCCTGTCCTTTGTCCTACATCACGGCTAGACATATTTTTGGTTTCTGGGGATTGGGAGGAGAGGTTTCCGGATGTGGTTCAAACAGCTTTGGCTAGACCAGTCTCGGATCACATTCTGTTGTTGTTGGATTGTGGGGGGATGAGATCCCGGGGTACACCCTTTCGGTTTGAGAACATGTGGCTCAGAGTAGACGACTTCTAGGGGAAAGTACGTTCTTGGTGGGATGAGGCTACAACCATTGGTACTTCGAGTTTCGTGTTGGCAGGAAAGCTTCAGTTCTTGAAGACAGAAATTAAAAGTGGAATAAGGAGGTGTTTAAGAACTTGGAGTGGAGGAAGAACAGGGCTCCTGCTGAGATTGTAGAGATCGATTGGTTGGAAGGTAGATGGAGTATTGAGGAGACTCGGAGGCATCGGAGAGCGGAATGTCAGGCGGAGATTGCTATTTTGGAGGAGATCTCGTGGCGTCAGAAGTCCAGGGCTTTATGGCTTAAGGAGGGTGATCGTAATACAAGGTTCTTTCATAGGTTGGCTAATGCTCATGGGTAGGGCAACCACATTGGGAGGATTTGTGTGGATGGGGTGGAGTTATGTAGAGAGGATGAGGTGTGTAGGGGGATTGCCTCGTATTATTAGCGATTGTACACTGAGACGTATAGGTGGAGGCCTCGGCTTGGAGGTTTACACTTCGATATGATCTCAAACATGGATAGAGATGGCTTGGAGATTCCATTTATTGAAGAGGAAGTATTGACAGCGCTCAAAAGTTGCAATGGCGATAAAGCCCCGGGTCTGGATGGCTTCACTATGAGATTTTTGTTGGCAAGTTGGGGTGTTGTCAGGGAAGCGGTGATGGGTACATTCCAGGAATTCTATTCTCACGAGAGATTTGAGAAATCTTTGAATGTAACTTTCATCGCTCTTATTCCTAAGAAGGGTGGGGCATCCGACGTGAAGGATTTTAGACTGACTAGTTTGGTGGGATGTATGTACAAACTTATAGCTAAAGTCCTTGCTTTGAGATTGAGGGATGTATTGGATGGAGTTATTTCCGAATCCCAAAATGCCTTTATTAGTGGTCGACAGATCCTGGATTCTTCTCTTATTACCCGTGAGTGTGTGGATGCTAGATTGCGTAGTGGTATTCCAGGAGTTCTTTGTAAGCTTGATGTTGAGAAAGCCTATGATTATGTATATGGAGTTTTCTGCTCTATATGTTGGAGAGGTTGGGCTTCGGGGAGAAATGGAGGAAGTGGATTGAGTTTGGTATTTCAACTGTGAGGTTCTTGGTTCTAGTGAACGGGGTTCCGTCTGGCTTTTTTGGCAGTTCACGTGGATTGACACAAGGTGACCCCCTCTCTCGCCGTTTCTGTTTATCATTGTTATGGAGGCTCTCAGCATGTTGTTGAGGAGGGCTGTGGACTTGAGGTTCATTATAGGGGCTTCAGGGTGGGGAGAGATTTGGATCATCAGCTCGAAATCTCCCACTTGCTTTTTGCGGATGATACTTTGGTGTTTTGTGATATAGATGTGTTGCAGATGAGATATCTGAGGTGTGTTTTGGTGTGCTAGGCCGTTTCTGGCCTAAAAGTAAATGTGGGGAAGAGTACTCTAGTCTCAGTGGGGGAGGTGCAGGACATTTTCAATCTTACAATGGTTCGAGGGTGTGGGGTCTCGTCTTTCCCCATCTCTTACTTGGGATTGCCCTGGGTTCACCGTCGATAAGGGTGGGGGTTTGGAATCTTGTGATTGACAGATTTGAGAAGAGGCTCGCCGTGTGGAAGAAACAATATTTGTCCAAATGGGGGAAGATCACTCTTATGAAAAGTACATTGTCAAGTCTTCGTACATATTTTCTCTCTTTTTTTTAGATTCAGTCTCAGTGGCCGAAAGGATAGAGAAGCTTCAGCCGAATTTCCTTTGGGGTGGCTTGGGGATAAGTTTAACTATGTTATGGAGGAGGGTTATATCTTGCCGCTTTGGGGAGGAGAGAGGTGGGTGGTGCTCCCGAGTGGTTAGATCGTCCGCTGCTGGTGTGGGTGTTCTGAACTTTATCCGGAAGGGATGGGATGATTTCTCCAAGCATATCAGATTTAGAGTTCGAGACGGCAGTGATATTAGGCTATGGGAGGATGTATGGTGTGGCTAACATTCGTTGCCTTCTTTGTTTCCCAAGTTATTTAGGATTGCTGTTGGCGGACACGCTTGGGTGGTCGACTATTATTGGCTTGATAGCGGGAGGATCACTTAGGATGTGCGTTTTCAGCGACATGTTCAGGATTGGGAATTGGATGACATTGCGGACTTGTTGGACCTGCTGTATAGACAAACGATTAATGGGGGCGGCCCAGATTCCCTCATTTGGGTCCCCCTCTCCCCAGGGGAGATTTGAGGTCCAATCTTTCTTCCGCTTTCTTCAGCTGCCTCTCGGGTTTCTCAAGGGCTGATTTTCCTTTGAAGACTGTTCGGCGGTTGAAGGCTCCCTTAAAGGTGGCTTTTTTTGTTTGGACTGCCGTTTGGGGCAAGATTCTTGCCCTTGACAACCTTAGAAGGAGAAGATAGGTAGCGGTCAATTGGTGCTGTATGTGCAAGAGGGATGAAGAGTCAATTAATCATCTTCTTTTACATTGTCAGGTGGCCCACGACTGTTGGAGTCTCATCTTTGTTCTGTTTGGTATACAGTGGGTCATGCCTTGGTCTACGAGAGGTTTGATTGACTCATGGAGAGGGTGTGGTATGCGTCCTCACGTTATTCATTTTTGGAGGGCAGTACCACTATGCATTTGGTGGTGCATCTGGAAGGAACGTAATAGTAGATCTTTTGAGGGGGAGGAATCTCCCGTAGGAATGCTAAAATACAGTATCATTAGATGTCTTTTATGCTGGGGGAGGGGGGGGAAGTTGTTCATCATTGGATGAGATGATTGATCTCTTAGGATCCCTGGGTCCTTAATCCCTTGTTTATGTTTTTCTGTATTTCTTTCTTTCTCACGTTTGGCTTGTTGTACTTGGATGCGTTCCCCTTTTGAACGCTCTTTAATACATCTTTACTTGTCAAAAAAAAAAAAAAAATTGTAAAATCATATCCATGTATCTCCTTGGCTGTCTGATACTCATTTGGATGGAACCATGAAAGGACCCAATTTCTGAAATGTTGACAATCTGAGGGAAGAGATTACCAATAGAATACCAAGAATAATTCCTTAGACTGCACACCTCAACTTGGGTCTGCCTTGCTTGATCTAAATGTGAATTTTGTGCCAATTCAATCATCAAGACCACTTTTCATTTGGTGAAAACCAAATCTGAGGGGCTTGCACTAAAAGAAAAGAATGAAAATGGCAAGTCATCCATTTCATGATTGACAAGTTATATAATTATTATCGGGATTTTGGTAAATCATCATGAAAGTATCTAAACATAAGAATTTGTTTCACAAAACTACGGAGACCAAATAAGACTAAAGAGACTCTTTATGAGGAGTTTCAGTACGATGCACCGAGTGGTGCTCATGAATTATGGGAAGGCAGGAGCCCTTGACAGCATTACTCTCCAATTGAATTAGAGGCTTCATGTTCGAGAGAAATAGGCGCTATTTCGATGGAAAGGAGAAGCCTTCTTCTATGCTTAAGTTTTCTATTATTTCCACCCTTTTTTGTTGGGTTTCAGGGAGAGATTGTCGATCTATAGAGGAGATTGTTGTTTTTTGGCCTCTTTGAAGGCTTGAGGCGCTTTTTGGCCTTTTGTTTGTATTTGGGTTTCGCTCCCCTTCTGAGCGCTTTCTTTATAAAATTTTACTTATCTAAAAAAAAAAAAAAAAAAAATAGAGGCTTCATGTTCCTCTCATGTTCTTGTAGGATTTTAACAGTCTTGTAGCACTACTTTTTAACCAAAACATCTTGTTTCTTTCTTTTTATAGATGACTTTCACTAAAGGGTTCATGGTGCATAAACTCATGTAAACATGAGAAAAACCACAAAATTGGTATGGGAAGATATAATTCAGTTCTTCCGAAGACTCTATATGGAATCAATTATGAGAGAAGAATGTAGTACAATGGGCTCAAAAAAACAGTATTCAACCTGAAATCATAAGAGTCTCCACCTTCAAGTGCCTGTTCCTTGTATTACATGCATACTAGTCAAGGCAAAAGGGTAGCCTGCAATTTTCCTCAATTTCTTTTACTCACCTTGGCTCCTCTCCAGCCAGCTACCAACACCAAATTGCCTACAACTGAAGCGATAAATCAACAATTGATTAACATTTTTGACTTCTTAGACCCCCACCAGCTATTAGGGATGAAATGTCTTCTTTCTACTTGGTCCATTTCTGAAACTCCTCATAGGAGTCTACGATTTAGCACAACTTCCTTATATTTTTTTCTGGAACCCATCAATCATCATATAGATGATCTCACGATTTCCATAAATTTGAGGCCTCTTATTTGATTTAGGTTTTTTTTTGTAGATCTTAGGGAAGATTAACAACTGATAACTCTTCCATTAAGGCGCATGCTAATTGATTGAAGAGCTCTTTCATTTTCTCTTAATTTATAAGGCATGACTTTTCAATTAAACATCTACTCGATGCATTATCCCAAAACTCATCATAAAGAATCATCTTTATCCACCGTTCTGTTGTTGGCCTTGTTTGGTGTTTGTTGTTCGTGTATAGATAGCTATATTTACACAACCCTATGAAGATATACCAAATCCTCATTATATTCTTTTGGAACTTGTTAGTCCTGAATTAGGTGACCCTACCATTTTCATTCATTTCTCTTAGTGCAAGATTGGTCATCCTTGGGTTTGGCTTTCACCAAATAAAAAATGGAGTTGAATTCAAAGTGGTAGAGAGTTTGTACTTTGGTAGAGCAGAGAGGCTGTCCAAAGTTGAGGTATGCTGTCTTGCGATTCACTGTTGGTATTCTATTGTAATCTCGCCCTGAAATTGTTTAATATTTTAGTAAATGTGAACCAAGTGGTACATAATGCTCTGACGTCAAATGTTATTCTGCCAACAAGTTCCTGTTATGTCACTCGTCTTTTCACAGCTCTTTACCTCAGTAAGATTGATATCATGAAGTGGGGAGCTCTCTTGGCTGTATGATCTCGACATCTATGGATTTATTAGATAGTGTTTTTTTTTTCCTTTCCGTAAATGGGTTGGTTGTATCTATGGATTTATTAGATAGTTATATTCTCAGTACTTCTTTCAGCAAGTAATTCACGATCTACTAAGGAATTGATTCATGTATGGAGAGGTTGTCGCGTGAGAAGGGATGTACGCGATTTTTGGATTTTTGGAGAGTTATCCCACATTGTGTCTGGTGGTGTATTTGGAAGGAGAGAAACAGTAGAATGTTTGAAGATAAAGAGTCATCTACGGCAATGGTGAAACATCACATTCTTCGTTCTCTTTTCAATTATGTGAAGAGGAGTTCTTACTCTTCTTCTGATGATTTAATTATTTTTTTGGATTCTTTGGGGCCTTAGTCCCGGTTCCATTTTTGTAAAAGGGACGCGTTCCTCTTTTAAATGCCTTTTTATGTTATTATTACTTATCAAAAAAAAGAAGTAATTCATCAAATATGCACCGTCTGTGCTACAGATGTATGAGCTATGAAAACGTTTCAAGATCACGACCACTTAGGGTAGTCTCTAACTTCCTATAGTTAGTCTTTCATATTCGATGGAGAATTACTAATAAAAGGCTTGTTTCGATGCATCTGATGTTAGGACTATCTTCTGCACATTTGTTACAGCAATAGTTTCTTTCATTTGTATATCTTGCGTATGAGTTGGTCTGGTTTTATTCCCACGTTTATATGCACTTGCGATTTGGCTTGTGCAGCAATAAGGAATCTCTTTTTGTAATATTTTTTTTTTTCTTTTTATTTATGTATTTTTGCTTTTATATTTGATCTACTTTTCTTTTTGTTTGTCATTCTTGGTTTTGATTTTTAATGTTATTTGCTCATGTAGAATACATATGGCGCCATTCAGTGATGAATATTTATTCATAGAAATTGCAAATAAGGTATGTTTTTGTATTGATTTTCTCAATTTTCTTTTTCTTTTAAATTTATCTTTGATACAAATATGTCCTCGGGATTTCAATTAGTTGCATGAGAAAGGCTGTTATCAGTTGCAGATGTTATTAGTCATACTCAAATATATATTACATGGTGAGTGGAAACGTAATCAAATAACAGATCTTATACCTCTGATATAGTATGTCATATCACAGATCCTATGCCTCTAATGTAGGATGTAGATGATGACCATAATATCAAATCCTATAAAATAATATCAAATCCTGAATTTACTCCCAATACTCCCCCTCAAGCTGGAGCGAAGATATCAACTAAGCCCAACTTGCCAATACTAGAGCAGCGGAGAGCAGATAGTCCCACTAACTTCGAGAACATGTCGGCAAGCTGATTAGAAGAGGAAACGAAGGAAGTACAGGTAACTCATGAGCGCACTTTCTCTCTGATAAAATGAACATCAACCTCAATATGCTTGGTCCTCTCATGAAGAACGGAGTCAGACGCGAGCATAATAGCAGATTGGTTATCACAGAAAAGTGTCACAAGTGCCTTGAGCCATGGCACGGTATTCGGCCTCTGCAGAAGAACGAAACATAGCACTTTGTTTCTTACTTTTCCAAGAAATTAGATTTACCCCGTGAAAAGTACAGAAACCTGAAGTGGAGCGACGGTCAGTCAAAGATCCAGCATAATCAGCATCAGAGTAGCACGATATGAGAGGCAGTGGTGTGGATATATAGAATAAACCAATTCCTGGGCAGGACTTAAGGTACTGAAGGATCTGGTATACTGCATCTAAGTGTGAGGTCCGAGGAGCATGCATGAATTGATTGACAACACTAACTGCAAATGTGAGATCAGGTCTAGTGTTTGTGAGATAAATTAAGCGACCAACAAGACGCTGATAAGCAGATGGATCTGGAATTAGGTCTTTGGACTCAGCATGAAGACAATGTGTCGGGTCCATAGGAGATGAAGCAAGTCGACATCCAAGCATACCAGTGCCTTGCAGGAGGTCTAGTGCATACTTTCGTTGGGAGAGAGAAATGCCATGCCTAGAGCGTGCAATCTCAATACCGAGAAAAAAATGAAGGGGACCTAAGTCGTTAACCTCATAAGTGTGCCCAAGGTCTCTCTTCACCTTATCAATGCAAGGTTTATCATCACCTGTGATGATGATACCATCAACATATACCAAGATAATTTTTTTTTTTTTTTTTGATAAGTAAAGATATTTTAACAAATACGCTTATAGGGGAGCGAACCCTTAACAAGGCAATTAAAACAAAAACGCAAACGCGTCAATACAATGATAAGTTGTCAACAAAATCCAAAAAACTATCTACAGATGGGCAATTTTTCCCATTAACCCAAGAATAAAGAGAATGCAAAATATTCGCCTTGATAACCCACACTGACGACTCCTGTCATTCGAAAGATTTCCTATTCCTCTCATGCCACAACCCCCACCAAATATAAAGAGGTGCAACCCTGCACGCCTTCCTGACAAAATTATTGAAATTGGTAATTGAATCAATTGATTAAAGAATTGGGAATACACTGTTATATGTACAAAAGAATAATGCTATTATAGGAAACTAACTAATCCTGGAGATATACATTAATACATATAAAAAAACTGATCCCTAGAGATCAGGGATTACAATAACTAATAAATCCCTAACTGTTAACAGCCTGTACACAATTTCCTTATACAAGGAAAGAATCGTATTTTCCCACACTCCCCCACAAGCTAGTGAATGGATGTCATCCATTCCAAGCTTGCTGGTTATTCTCTGAAAAACGGTACCAGGCAATCCTTTGGTAAGCACGTTTGCTAGTTGTTCTCCAGTAGGAACAAAAGGAGTACAAATGAGGCCACTATCCAACTTCTCTTTAATAAAATGCCTGTCCACTTCAATGTGTTTTGTGCGGTCATGTTGCACAGGATTGTGTGCAATATTGATGGCTGATTTATTATCACAGTAAAGCTTCATTGGATCTTTCCATCTGACTCTCAGATCTTCCAAGATTATCCTTAGGCATAGCAGTTCACATATCTCGAGTGCCATTGCTCTAAATGCAGCTTCTGCGCTGGACCTTGGAACCACATTCTGTTTTTTGCTTCTCTAAGTAATGAGGTTACCACCTAGGAAGGTGCAATAGCCCGAGGTTGATCTTCTGTCAATCACGGATCCTGCATAATCTGCATCCGTGTAGGCTTCAAGAGTCAGTCCTTTCCCTTTCTTAAACATAATTCCTCTTCCTGGTGTACCCTTCAAGTACTGCAGAATTCTATACATAGCTTTGAGATGTGATTCTTTGGGATTGTGCATGAATTGACTCACAACACTCACAACATAAGCTACATCCGGCCTAGTATGTGATAAATAAATTAACTTCCCCACAAGTCTCTGAAAAGAGCCTTTATCCACGGCCACCTCTTCTAGAGCATCACAAAGTTTGTGGTTTGACTCCATAGGTGTCTCAACTGGCTTACATCCCAGCTTGCCTGTATCAGCCAATAAGTCTAACACATAGTTTTGCTGTGATATAAAAATCCCTTGCTGAGAGTGGGTTACTTCAATACAAGAAAGTACTTCAGTTTTTCTAGCTCTTTGATCTCGAATTCCTTCACTAACTGTTTCTTCAAGCTCTCCATTCCTTCCAAATCATCTCCTGTTACTATGATATCATCCACATAGGCCAACAATACTGTCACTCCCCCTGATGCTCTGAGTGTTTTACAAACAATGTATGATCACCTTGACTTTGCTTATATCCCATACTCACCATCACTTTGGTAAATCTCCTAAACCAAGTTCATGGGGATTGTTTCAGTCCATAGAAAGCTTTTTTTACGCTTACATACCATTCCTTCCTTTTCATTTGAGCCAAACCCAGGCGGAATCTCCATATAGAACTCCTCCTCAAGATCGCCATGTAAGAAGGCGTTCTTGACATCAAATTGCTGTAATCTCCAGCCAAAATTTGTAGCCACTGATAGCAGGATTCTCACAGTATTCATTTTAGCAACTGGAGCAAAAGTCTCAAGATAATCTAGGCCGTAGGTTTGTGTATACCCTTTGGCAACTAATCTTTCCTTGTACCTTTCCAAAGAGCCATCTGAGTTGTATTTGGTTGTGAACACCCATTTACACCCAACCGGCTTCTTCCCTCTAGGCAGTCTCACCAAGTCCCAAGTCTTGTTTTTCTCAAGTGCTTCCATCTCAACCTTCATAGCATTTTCCCAATTGTCATTTCCTAATGCATTGGATAAAGTTTTGGGAATAGGGACTGTATTTAGGCTAGTAAGAAAGGCCCTATGGTTATGAGAAAGATTCTTATATGACATGAACATATAAAGAGGGTGTAGGTCTTGCAAAGCCTCACATACAGTGCAAGGGATGAAAATAGTAGAAGTGGCAGCAAGGTAGGTTCTGTAGGCATGCGAAAGTCCCTGATAAGAAACAAACTGGGCCATAGGGTATTTAGTTACACGTGTCCGTGTACCTTTTCAGAGTGCAATAGGCAAATCAGAATCAGAACTAGGTGAAACATGATCTGAAGTAGAACTAGGAAGAGCAGGGTTAGGAATACCTGTACCAGAAGAGAACGGTGGCAGGGAGGTGGGACAGAGTTAAAAATTGGTGTAGGTCGAGCCGGAGGTGAGGAAGACACTGAAGGACTGATTGGAGATGTAGAAGAAGATGGAACCTACAAAAAGGATGTGCCAAAAAAGGGAACATCTTCGAAAAAAGTGACATCAAGAGAGTGAAATATTCGATGAGTGCTAGGGTCATAGCAGCGATAGGTTGCTAACTGCTATCGCCTTGATAGCGGGAGGTTATCTTGGGATGTGCGATTCCGGCGATCTTTTCAGGATTGGGAGTTGGATGATGTCACTCGCTTGTTGGCTCTCTTGTATAGACAGGAGGTGGAGGGCACTGGTGTTGACTCCCTGTTTTGGGTGCCCTCTTCTCAGGGGATGTTCTAGGTCTGGTCTTTTTTTGTGTGCCTTTCTGGTTTTCATGGCGCTTCCTTCCCGTGGAAGACGGTGTGGCTGTCCAAGGCGCCTCTTAGGGTGGCCTTTTTCGTGTGGACTGCAGCTTGGAGCAAGATTTTGACTTTGGATAACTTGAGGAAGCGAAGACATATTATTGTTAATCAGTGTTGTCTTTGTAAGTTGAATGGGGAGTCAGTGGATCACCTGTTGCTGCATTGTCCTGTGGCTCATGATTGTTGGAGTCTCATTTTTGCTTTGTTTGGTATTCATTGGGTTATGCCTTGGACATCTCGGGAATTGCTGGATATTTGGAGGGGCCAATGGGTGGGGGCTCAGGCGAGAGTCTTTTGGAGGGTAACCCCCTTTTGTGTTTGGTGGAGCATTTGGAAAGAGCGGAATAGAAGATCTTTTGATGGGAAGGAGTACTCCATTGGGGTGTTGAAATTCTTTATTATTTGTACTCTTTTTTGTTGGGGTTGGGGGAGAGATTTTTCCTCCATTGAGGATATTGTGGACTTTTTGGGCTCCTTGAGATCATAGTTTCAGTTTTTTGTATAGCTTGGGACGCATTCTCCTTTTGAACGCCTTCTAATACATTTTACTTATCAAAAAAGAAAAAGAAAAAAGAATAACCTAGAAAATTGCAATGAATAGCTTTGTCATCAAGCTTCATACGCGTAGGACGTCGGTCCTGAACAAAACAGGTACATCCGAAAACATGAGGAGTGATAGGGAAAAGGGTGCTCTCGGGTCGCAAAAGATGCAATGGAACCTTACCCCCTAAAGTATGACTAGGAGTGCGGTTAATAAAAAAAACTGCAGTGAGAACTGCCATACTCCAATAAGACTGAGGAACTTGCATACCATGTAAGAGGTACCTGACAACACTCATGAGATGACGGTTTTCATGTTCTGCCACCCCATTCTGTTCCTGTGTATAAGGGCAGGTCAACTGATGAAGAATTCCCGGTTCATTATGGTGAGACCGAAAGCCATTAGAGATATATTCTCCTCCATTATCTGACCGAAGGGTTTTAACTATAGTATTAAATTGGGTTTTAATCATTTGCAAGAAAGAAATAAAAGTAGATGATAACTCAAAACGTGATTTAAGTAAATAAACCCAAGTACAACGCGAGTAGTCATCAATAAAAGTCACATAATATTTATGACCGAGTAAGAAGTAACAGGGGAAGGTCCCTAGGGCCCAGACATCCGAATGAATAAGATCAAATAAACAAGGGCTACGATGCATTCGTGAAATATAAGAGGTGCGTGTGTGTTTAGAGAGCTCACACACAACACACCGAAAATGATGGGTTTTACAAGCTGTTTGTAATGCAGGAAATAAAGATGGCAAATGCTGAAAATTAGCATGTCCTAAACGAGCATGCCATAAATCAAGCGTCTGGGTTGTAAAAGAATGTCTTTCATGGCCTGGTAATATGGAAGCATGTGCAAGTGTTGGAGACGTCCCAAAGATGTACAACCCATCCCTTTCATACCCCCTGCCAAAAATCCTCTCGTAACTAGGTCCTGAAAAACACAGTGATCAGGAAAAAAAGTCACCGAACAAGCCAGGGAAAGGGTTAAGCGGCTAACAGATAATAAGTTAAGGGAAAGGCGAGTAGTATGAAGAACAAAATTGTAAAGATAAATCAGGAGATAAAGGGACAGTACCCTCACTGATGATTTGTGTAAAAGAACCATCAGCAAGGCGTACCTGCCCCGAGGATGCTTCCAAATCTGAAAAATACTGAGACTCACCAGTCATGTGATCGGAAGCACCAAAATCAATGACCCAAGTTGGAGGAACAATACCAGACTGAGAGGCATGGAATGCAGATGGGGTACCTGAGTGAGTTGCAGCAGATGTAGCTAAAGGGATGGTACCTAAGTGAGCTGCAACAGATCTTGCTGAAGGGAGAGCTGCCTGTGATAGATGATCTTGGATAGTAGACCCAATTTGTGTCTGCAACTGACGCATATCATTACATCCAGGCGGAGGAGCAGGTGGTTCATTAGAAGACTCAGCGATAGCAGCAGTAGTGTTGCTAGATCTGAGGTGTGGGTAGAGTTAAAAGCACCAGTCCTTAGCATGACTAGTCTTCCCACAATGTGTACAGATGATGGAACTCCCCCGTCTACGATTACTATTGCCACGACCACGGCTACGAGTGCCAGACGGTCGAGAAGTAGCGGCTAATGCCATCTGATCAGTGTCAAACGTAGGAAGTGCAACATGAGCCATTGATGGTGTAACTTGGCGTCGACGATCATCCTCATCAATAATAGCATAGGCCCCAAAAAGAGAAGGTAGTGGTGTAGTGTTCAAAATTTAAGTGCGAAGGGCCTCAAACTTTGGACGAAGTCCCATAAGGAATTGATAAGTCTGATGTCGCTCATGTCTGGCCATAATAAACTCTGCAGCCTCTGCTCAGATATCACCAAGGCACTCATAATGAGCAAGCTCTTCCCAACATGACTGAAGGCAGGCAAAATAATCTGCTACTGACAGATTGAGATCCTTTTGGGTAGCCCGTGTAGTGTCTCGGTTCAACTCATAGATCCAGGCATCATTATGGGCATGGGCATAAGTCTTTGTGAGGGCAGTCCATAAAGTGTCTACAGTTTCGTGATACATGAACATATTATAAAAACGCTGCTCCATAGAGTTGAATAACCACCCAAGAAAGGTACAATTATCAATGTCCCACTGATTAAATGCGATTCAGTAGGTGATGGCCTTTTAACAGTACCCAATAAGTATCCAGTTTTACCATGACTCCCTAAATAGAGTCTTAACTGATCTTGCCCAAGACGGAATTTTTTTTCCCTCTAATAAAGCTGTAGTGATCCTTTGGGCTTGGGAGCTATGCCTAGAGGATATATTATCCTTAATCTCAACAGATGCCATACCAGGTTGCAGATTACCACCAAATTGAAGATTGCGAACACTGCTATCTGCAAGTCACAAGGGCCGAAAAAAAAAAAAAAATCAACACACACAGCTTCTGTTCGCAGATCTAAATGGGCTAGAAAAGCCCTGAGCTACTCTATCTGCAAGAATAAAATTAAGCTGGATGGTTCATCAACGGCATGTACTAAACTTTGCGGAAGCAACACAACACGAAAACAGGCCGGACGATTTGTCAACAACACATAACGACCGAGTCGGTCATTGCTTTAGAGAGAGGCACTCTATCGCAGGAACGATGGAGGGGAAAAGGAATACCCCTGAAGGGGTTTGGTTTGGTTGGGTGAAGTCTAGTTGTTGTTGACTGAAATTTAATGGAGACAGAAAGAGTAGAGGATGAACCAAAAGAAGGTGAAGCAGAGAGGAAGATGTAGTAGGGTGGCTGTTATCAGCTACAGATATTATTAACTCCTATATATATTACATGGTGAGTATTACATAAATGGAAACGTAATCAAATCACAGATCCTATACCTCTGATATAATATGTCATATCACAAATCCTATGCCTCTAATGTAGGATGTAGATGATGACAATAATATCAAATAATATCAAATCCTATAAAATAATATCAAATCCTGAATTAATTCCCAATACAATTTAGGGATACAACATTTTATGAAATCTGTTAGTCACTTACTGTTGGGATTTTTTTTTTTTCGTTTTTCATCTCTTAAGAGGATCCATTCAATTGTTTCGAGCAGTGTATGATGCGATTTGTACTTGCCTGTATTCAGAATCAGGATTGTAGCATCTGTTGCGTTTTACTAAGACAAATTTATTCATCATACGATTCTAGACTTCCTATTCTCTCAAAAGATGCACTATAAACACATATACTCACCAAAACCTATATTACATAAGATTTATTGGGAAAAAAACCCTACAATAGATAAGATTTAAGATTTAAGATTTAAAACAGACCCTGAATCAAGAGTTTGGGCATCTCATTCGATTGGTAAATTCCTCCCTTTATTTATTTTTCCATATTTCACCATTTATAGTGAATTTACCTAGATTTGTTATTTGATGTTAATTATTGAAAGATTGCTTGTGATATTGGGATTAGAATGTTGTTTGAACAACCTTTCTTGAATTATTTATACACACACACACACACACACACGTGTGTGTGTGTGTGTGTGTGTGTTTTTCGTTCTCTGTACCAGTCTTGAAACCTTGACCTGGGGCTTGGGAGTTAAGAACCAAAGCAGAACAATGGTAGACCAGTATTTTTATATATATTTTATTTGTGTGATCATAAAAAGTAATGAAAAATAAAATGTTCGTAAGTTTTTATTGCTGATTGGGACTTAAAATTAATTATCTATGATTAAGTAATCCTTATAAACTCAGAAAATTAATTAAAAAATATTCAAGACCCATTTATGGGATTTTGTGATCAAAACATGTGTATATTTTAGGAGGAGTTGGGTGATAGGAAAAAATGACTCTGATACCTTTGTCTATTAAGTTATGTTAGTTACACGCCATACCCATTATGCTACGACCACTACCTTTACTGCAATCCTGATTGGAACTTAAAACGCTGATCACAACTTATACTAATAGGATAGAGTAGGGATGAAGGCACTATGAAAACACTAAATTTGGGCAGGATTACGTGTTGGATATTTAGAACTAACCCGACCAAAAAAAAAAAAAAAAGGTTCTATTGCCCACTAGTTTCTTTGTTAACTTTTTCCCAATTTCTCATATGCATCTAAAAATTGCCACCTTAGTCCAGTTTTCCTTTGATCGGTCTGAGTTGGGATTTTCCTTGAGATTACCTTGATTAGAATGCTTACTAGAATATATTTTGTTTCTTACTGTCAGCTTTTAGACATACAAAAAATGTCTAAATTATTATTTTTCTTTACCATGCAGGCCCTCTTTTGGCAGCAACAGAATTATTATGGGGTTGATCTGACGCCCTTATATGGGTCTGCATTCCAGGGATACTTTTCTCAGGTATATTTTAATAGCATGTGAAATTTGTTTGAAAATTTTAAGACTGCCTTTGGCTTAAAACATTTACTAGTTCGTTGTATGGCTTCTTATTACCTTTTTTTTACCTGTTTTTGTAGATTGTCTGTCTGGTTTAGAAATTGAAGAAATTGAATTTAAAACTTGGAACAACAGTTATCTTATGCCTAAGCTTGATTTTTCCTCGGTTTTTAGTTTCTAAGATGTATTCTGGTTAACTACAGTAACAGTTTGAAACTTCTACCCAACTTTGGTTATTTATGTGGAGGAAATAACATCTTCAGATAGAGAATTATGAGTATGACAAGAAATTATATCCATTCAAAAGCACATGAAGAGGTATATTGAATTATCAAAGTAGGAAACTATGTGTAGAATGATGTCATACAACTAATGTAATTTGTGTTAAGAACGTATTACAGTTGAGGCAGTCTACTAGAAAAGGGTACTTGAGCTGTGATTGTTTCAGCTTCTTAGGACAGTAGAAGAGAGCATGCAGTCCCTGAATACCTTCTTTGACTTGTGCTTGTACTGTTGAGGAATGATTTTGAAAAACTTACCTTCTACATGGCCCACTGCCACCCAAATACCTTATTTGACTTGTGCTTGTACCGTTGAGGAATGATTTTGAAAAACTTAAACTTCACTTTATTCATGGCAAATAATTTTTTTGAAAGATTGAACCACGGCTTAGAGATGCTTAGTCGCTTTTTGAAGATAGTTAAAGCCCTCCCCATAGAGTGCAAGGGATCATGGCAGTCCTATCTCAAGATTCAATCATGCCTAGAGTCGTTCCAACCATAGTGCCCAACTAAAAGCGAAAATGCTTGAAAATTTTATGAAACACTGGTTGAAGAATTTTGGACTCAAAATAGATTGTTCAAATGAATTGGAAAAAGTGATCTTATATGTATAGGAATGGCATCGGGCGGGTATGGGACAGGTTTCCCTAAATGCTACTCCACCCTGTATAACAATAGTTGACCCCATAGCTGTCTCAAACCCATTCCGGACCCGGAATGGGTTTGAACTTCCCATCCCATCTATGCTTACAAACAACCTCCATAGCCCCTTTCCCGCTCTGTTAAATATAGATAATTTATACATATGCAGAGATAAATACAACACAAATCCTAGTTATACACACACACACACACACACACACACACACAACATAAATGACTAACCGTATGAGAGGAGTTTGCCGATCATCAGTGAAGAGACCGTCAAATGGAAATGAGATCGGCATCCTTGGTGAAAATAGCGAGGGACGAGTTGGACGAGTGAATGCAAGAGAGGTAGAGGCCAAAGAGGAGGGGGATTTAGAACCTGGTTCCACTCTGGTTATGGGACGCGTTCCTCTTTTGAACGCTTTTTAATCGATTATTATTTATCAAAAAAGAGGAGGGGGATGAAGGGGAAGACGAGGGGCTGAGATTGGAGTTGAAGGGAACGCTGGCGCTGGAGAAGGAGCAAGGCAAATAGAGAGGGGGAGGAGGTGGCTTGACAATCGTAGTGGGGGAGGGGTGGCTGATAACTAATAAGATGGTAGAAACCCTAGAAAAAAATATATGTATATAAATATTTATAAGAAATATTAAATTTAAATGAGCGTATAGTGGTAATTAGATATATAATCGGGGCGGGGTGGAATTCTTATATACCCAATCCTGCCTCGAACCTGGATCGGGTTTCAATAATCTAACCCAAACCCACTACTATCCCATTTAATACCTTACCATACACATCCCATTAGGGGCGGGCCTGGGTGGAAAGCCGTCGCGGTGGGACAAATTGCCATTCCATCCCTATATATAAATCTCCCTATTATTCGAGATGAATGAAACACAAGTGCGTTCATTCATTAACTTTTTGAGTCTGCTAGATTCACTGAGAAAATCCAAGTGTGGACAAATGTAAATGCATTTTCTTTGTAGGTACATGAATCATCCAATTAAGTATATTTTTGCTTCTGAAATTATTTATCATTTGGTGGCTCAAAGGGTTACGAATCCAAAAATAAGTTTTTCCAAATGACTACTGATAAAAGTTTTGGAGCACATCAATATACATGGGAAGCCATTTTTATAGGTTTACTGGTGTGTGTTGACATTGTTGGGAATATGAGGAGGTACGCTTGGATGGGAAGCCACTTTTATAGGTGGCTGAGACAGGAATATGTAAAAGATACACTTGGAGCGCCACATGTCATGTGGTCGTCTCTCCCATTGATTATCCAAGACGTTACCCGTACAGCACGTGTTCAGGGATCTGAACCTTGAGATGTGCAATGTATGTGCCTTAATGTCACATGTCCTTTCGCCTCGACTTGGGTTTCCAGATAGCTTTCCAAGGGAAAGAGGGGCCTAAAGACTCCATCAAACTAAAATAGAAAGACCTAACCTCAAAAGTCCCTCTGGAGCTGCCCTCCCACACCATCTCGTGCGTACCCACCCCGATCACCACTTGGCAATAAATCAAGGCAAGGAAATTTGTAACCTCCAAAATCTTCCAATAATTGAACTGTCTACGGAATTGCACATCCCAAGTCACCCTCTCATTATTGAGTCGATACTAGTTAACAACCACAACATGCCCTCCCCGTGATGGCAGAAGATAACCCGCCTCCAAAGCTTGGACCTCTCTCCCCCAAACCTCCACATCCACTTGCCTAACAATGCCTTATTGAACACATCCAGCCTTCGATTCCCAAGCCCCCTTTTTTTATGGGGGTGTACACCCTCTCCCAATTAACTAAGTGGTATTTGAATTCATCACCCAAACCACCTCACAAAAGACTTGCTCTGAATCTCTTCAAGTCTTTTGACAACTGTCATAGGCATCGGAAAGAGCAACATGAAATAGGTCGGGAGATTGGAAAGAGTGTTTTTCATAAGCGTAACTCTCCCCCCTTTTGACAAGTTCTGTCTCTTCCAACTTGACAGCCTCCTCTCAAACTGTTCCATAATCGGATCCCAAATAGAAATGCTCCTCAACGAGGTACCCAAAGGAGCCTTAAATAAGATATTGGTAAAGCGCGAACACCACAACCTAGGATATCTGCTAAAGCCTAAAACATCTCCACCACCCCAACTGGGACGATTTCACTTTCCTAATGTTGATTTTCAAGTCAGAGACTACTTGGAAACAAGCCAAAATGCATCTTAAGTACCTCAACTGGTCAACTCTAGCATCACAAAAGACAATAGTGTCATCCGCAAATAGCAAGTGGGAATGATTGGGAGCTCTATCCACAGAGAATCCTTGAATGAAACTAAGCACCCTCCCCATCAATCTATTGAAAGCCTCTATGACGATAATAAAAAGAAAAGGGGAGGGTGGGTCCCCCTGACTCAAGCCTCGAGAGCTGGAAAAGAAACCCGCTACTGGGCCGTTCACAAGAATAGAGAAACGTGCGGTTGAAGTACAAAAAAAGATCCACACCCTCCATTTGTGACCAAAGCCCATTCTCTTCATCGGGTACATCAAAAAATCCCAGCAAACATGATCATTGGCCTTCTCTATATCCAGGTTGCACACAACCCCCGAAACAACGCTTCTTGCCCTAGCCTCAATGCACACACTGGCAATCAAAACAGAATCCAGAATTTGGCGCCCACCCACAAAAGCATTATGTGATTCCGAGACCACCCCGTCGAGAACTCTCCTCATACGAGTGGCTAAGAGTTTCGCAATGATCTTATAAACAACCCCAGCCAGGTTGATAGGCCTAAAGTCCTTTGCCTCAATGGCACCATCCTTTTTGGGGGCAAGGGTGATAAAGGAAGCATTAAGGCTCTTCTCAAATGTGCCATGCAAGAAGAAATAGCTGATTTTACCCATCACCTAATCCTTCACTACCTCCCAGTTATGTTGCAGAAAAGCTGAGCTAAAACCGTCTGGGCCTGGGGCTTTAACTTTGTTCTTATCGTTTTCGCTACGTTAGTTGGTATCAGAGCAAGGTTTTGAATCCAAGATTCGATTTTGTGATGTAGGACAAGGGTAGCCTCAAATAGTTGAAACAAAAAAGTGTTTATTGGCTAAAAATTCTAATAAATAGAATTGGGGTTCAGGAAGTGTTAGTAGAAAGAAAGGATTTGGAATAACAAAAACCTATTGGAATCACACCAACAGGGTATAGGCATCACACCTAGGGAAGGCCTCACACCCTTATATCTTGTGAATCACTCACAAAGAAAGTTCAAAGACTTTTTTAATTCATTCCTCGCCTCACCAAGATTGCATTACCCTTTTTATAACATTCTATGAGTGCAGCTCATTACCCTTGGAGAACCCCGTTATTAAAGTAATCAAAAGTTGACTCTATAACATAATAAAAGTAATCACTCCATAATTGAGTCAATCAATATTTGACTCTATAATTACTCCATAATTAAGGTAATCAAGACTTACCTAATAGCATAATAAAGTAACTAAAAGTTGATTAATCTCCCAATTATTCAAAACTCTATGTGGACCCATATTATCTAGCCTATGCTAGCTCGAATCTTTGAATCCATCTTTTGGTGCCTTTAATACACCTTTAAAGATTTCTACCATTGATCTCCATCATTTTGTTTCGATGGATGGTTCACAAGATGGAAGCAATCCCTCCAACGACGGTGATCGTGATGGAGTAGCTTTTTTTGAGGGCTGAGTTTACTGAGTTCCAAATCAACATTAATCGAACCTTTCTTGATATGCATGAAATTATGCGTCAAGTATTGGCGAGATTGACAATGGTAAAACTTAACCGCGAGAACAATATGCTGCCCAACGACGGTGATTATGGACATCCTGCTGGTAATCGCCACCCAAACCCATTGATTAGGCAACCAGCCTACGAGGAAAACGTCGGTTTTGTTTGTTAACAACCGAGGCGTACAGGCATTTGGAGATAATCGAGGTCGATGGGAGTTTGATGATTCTAGGGATTTTCATATGAAGATTGACCTCCCCACTTTTCAAGGTCATCTTCGTATTGA